GAATTTTCATGTGCTTGAAGAAATAAGCCTGCTTCTTGAGTAATATCACTAAATTGGTTTTGATTTAGATATTCAGATGTACAGTCAAACCCCTCTATAGCACAAAATTGGTATAATTACAAATTTATTTCTATTTATAACTATATAGAAAATGCCTCTATATTAGTCACACCTCTTTACAATCACGGTTTTTTGTATCCCTAAGGTGTGACTATAGAGGAGTTTGACTGTATTATGAGCATTTTGTACGGGTAAGTTATAAGTTAATAATGTGTTATTCGGCATAGGATAAACCATATACAAATGATTAGGAATATATTTTTGACTTGGAATAGAGGAGGTCGTGTTAACCATTTTAATCTTATGTTTTGGGCCGCGTTTTCTGCACGAGTTAGTGAAAATACATTTGAGATTGCGTCTTTTAAGTTTGTGCAGATTGCTGTTCCAGTGCATTTTTTGCGACTTTCTCGAAAGTTAGTGCACGTTTCGGTTACGTGAGAGCGAGGTTTTTGAGAAGACATTGTTTAAAATATTTCTGAGTTAAATACTATAATAATGATATAAACGCTTAAATACGGTAAATAATTTTGACACTTGAAAAATTCAACAGAAAATTTATATAATATATAAATAATCTGTTAACAATATTAAATAGTGTAGATTTTGTTTAGCTAATTGGAATTTTTTGAGCAAACGAATATTTAGAGCCTGGGTGGTGTGAAGGCTTTATATATGTTTGAACTTATAAAATCGTCGGAATAAAGTATGTATTACAAAAAATAACTTTGAACTCTTTGTTCATCAGGGAACTATATCATGACTAAAAAAAAATGTGGTACAGTTGACCCTCGTTAGTGTCAACCTATTTGGATCACCTTTATATTCATGTTGATAGTGATATTAATGAGAGTTTAAATTAAGGTTGATATATATGAGGAAATTTTGATATATAAAAATTTATAAAAATTTGTTTTGTGGCTTGGGTTGATATTAACGCAGGTTGATATTAATGAGGGCCAACTGTATATATGTACAGTAGTAGGATTGTAGAACCCCACTATTGAAAATAATCAAAATCACTGTTTAGAGAAGTTAGCATAATCATGCTAACCTTTCTAAAACAAAGAGATTTTGATTTTTTTCAATTGTAGAGTTGTAGAGTCCTATAACCCTAATAAAAACTTTATTCATTGAGTTTTATTTTTTAAAGTACTTTAAACTGTATAAATAATGCAGTAATGTAAAATTAAATTATGCCTTCGACGCAAAATTTGATTTTATTGCCGCAGACAATCAATTATCAACCAATCAAAATAGCAAATTTAATATATATAAAGAGAAAAAAAAATTATCTGATTGAAAAAAAAAAAATATATTTGCGTTAAGCGTATTGTATCTCCTCTGAGAGTTAAATCGTTACTTGCGCACACAAATAGTTTTTTTTTAATATTAAAAATGTCCAACACCGAACTTGCCGTTGTTTACGCTGCCCTTATCCTTGCTGATGACGGAGTTGAGATCACCGTAGGTGTTGATTGCGTAGATTGCCTTTTTTTTTTTTTTTTTTTTAATAAAGTCTGAAATTATTACAAACTTTCTAATCGAAATTTAGGCTGATAAATTACAAACTTTGACGAAAACCGCAGGTATTGAGGTTGAACCTGTTTGGGCTAATTTGTTTGCTAAAGCTCTTGAAGGAAAAAACATTAATGACCTATTGATGAATGTTGGATCTGGTCTGTACTTTTTATATATTATCAATTTATTTCAATGTTGGCATTAATAATTATACATTAATTCTCCTTTTTAAAGGTGGTGGCGCTCCTGCTGCTGCTGGTGCTCCTGCTGCTGGTGGTGGTGCTGCTGCTGCTGAAGAAAAACCTGCAGAAGAGGAGAAACCAGCAGATGGAGGAGAATCATCTGACGAAGATATGGGGCTTGGTATGCTGTTTCATATTACTTCACGTATCACTTTATGAATTTAGATTTGTATTATTGATTAATACTCTTTATTCTTTAATTCATAGGTCTTTTCGATTAAGAAATAGAGTTTAGAAACGGGTTATAGTAAACCGGTCACCCGTGTCAAAACGGTAGCCTCTAAAAATCTGTTACTATTACACAGAAAATATAACAAAAATTTAACACATTATTATTGTATTGTGAATAAACACCCTTTTTTCTTACTAATTTATCTAAATGCTCAATCCCGCTAATTTACAAACTTTTGGAGGCTACTATACGGACTATCTATTGTTGCGGAAATTTTTTTAAAAATTTTCCCATGTATTCGATAGTACCCCGGGAATTCGTATCGCTTGGGTTCGATCATGTAACGTGATCGCGTTGAACTACCCCTGCGGCAAAACTTACGTTTTTGAGACTCCTGCACTTACTTTTTCGATACTCCTAGACGTGCTCAAAAATATATATTTTTTTTTGGATACTGATATCGCGTGCAGATCACCAAGCAAACTAGTACTATAATTTCAAACCTGACCCTAATAACAATAAACTATTAAAAAAATGCTCGTATAATGAATATTATACTTTTTTTTTTAAAGAACAACCCACATAGGTTTGATAAATAACTGATTTTAAAAAGTTTAGACCTTTTAGTTTTAGCCTGGTTGCGCAGGTCTTTAACAAAGATTACCGGTATATATATTTTTTAAACTGATATTTGGATGGAGTTTTTTTTAAACTGATATTTGGATGATGAGTTTTTCTTAAATTTCTATCCGCGCAATAGATGTTTTAAATATATTATTATGTATCAGCGTTTCTTAAGTTTTTTTTAAAAAATTTTTTAGCGTAAAAATTAAAAGTCGGTTTATTTACGATCGCACTTACATTAGCTCTCGATTTTTAGAAAAAATGTGATTTCTTTTATGGATTTTTGAATAACAGACATTTGTTTTTGTTTTAAATTTTCAAGATTGTGTTACGTTACATAAAATCGCTATTGGTTGTGTCGATCATCACGTGGGTGAAATTTTTGATGGTATCAAAAAAGTATATAAATTTTTGGGGTACATCTAGGAGCATCAAAAAAGTAAGCGCAGGAGTCTCAAAAACGTAAGTTTTGCTTCCAGTATTGCCATCAAAATTCATCCTCCACGTGACCACCGACAAAATTCTTTAAGTTCTTTAGGGTTTGGTTAAGTCTTTATATTAGGATTTGGAAAACTTTAATTAGTGCACGAAAGGTGGTTTCTTATACCCAAGGCTACAGCCCTGTAACAATATCTTTAAATTTATATTAATTGATAATTTATTAGTTATTTAAATAACTATATAATACACAACTCTTCCTAATAATCACTTGTACCAACCAGTTACCAAAAGCAAGTTGAAGACTCAAGACCGGTACAAACTTTTGAGAAATAAGCGATTTTTGACAAAAGCGACGTTGTTTGGAATTTTTCTGATCATATTATGTTACATTAAATTGTGATCTGTTATTGGCCAATAATCATGTAGATGAATTTTTGATAGCGATACTAACAGAGGGAAACGTTCAATGTTACACAAATATTAATGTATTTTTACATGATAATTAGCCAATCAAATCATAAGTTTCAAAGGAATAAAAAAATACAAAACGAAATAAAATTAATGCTATAA